AAGGCTGAGTCAACCTTGAGCCGATGAGATTAGAACCGCTGAACTGCAGATAACAGTCAGCTGAAGTGGCCTGCAGTACTGCACCCTAACCACTGTGCCACCTCAGCTCCTTACACCAGAGGCTAGACATAACCTCATGTTGATGGCATAACAAGCTAACAGTTTTAAAGAATAATTAAATAATGGATACCAATAAAGGGAAATATTTCTAGCTCAGGGTCTTTGGTATTCTCTTTAGTATTCTGTAGCACTGATGATGTTACCTGATTTGAATAATTAAACTGCAAGAAAACAACCAAAATCAGAGAGCCTCAATCATTATAATAATTGAACTTGAGAATCAAAGTTGTTCTTCAGAAATGGCAAAAACCCCACCATGTGAAGAATAGAGTACAATTATTTTTTATTAGTAGATGGTGGCATTCACAAAATAATTTCCCTGCCCATCCCGTGAAATAATTGACCCTTATATGTGAAATCAAATAACCCCTATAGAGAATTTGAATTTTATAAAATTGCAACTCTACACATTAGTTCTGCATCCTTAACCTGCTAGATGGCAGAAAAATACAATAGGATTTTCAATTTAAGTCTCATTACCATGTATAATGACGAGAAAATGATCAACGTCCTATAAATTAATTAATACTGGTGCAAATTATTGCTATATTAAAATGGAATGAAGATGCGTCTGTGACAGTTTATGTAGAAAGGAATCAGGGTCCAATAATTGCTCCCCATTAATGCAAAAGCAAGAAGAGACTGTAAATTAAGGTGTAAAGGCACTGGAAACAAAAATAGAACATGGGATCTGCTTTCAGAAGGAATACCATTCAAAATCATAGCTAGAGTGCTTACCTCAGGAAAAATGGTGAAACAATAGCAGCTGATGTATTTATATTTGGAACGATATGGCCCTGAACTGAATTGCCCTGGTATTTTATAATAAAGACAAAGAGTATTATCTTTTAGGAACTCTGTACAAAGTACATATTTGTATAGTCATAGAGGGTGCAATCCTTCAGTTGCAACTTTAGCCAGAAGAAAAAGTGAACCATATTTTAATTTTAACTCTATTAGATAAATAAAACATATCACCAGTGGCATTTAACATAATAGTAAAAAATTGTGCAAGATCCCCAAATTACAGGAGTTGCACTGACCAGTGATTTATCTGTTTAATGTGATCCACCAATACTATAGTTAAAATAGCATTAAGGAGTTGATTAACATGCATATGTGTTGAATCATAAACATGAAAGGCAATATGTAATTTTATTTAAAATTTTGCAGATCCTGATTTAATTTTTTCATCTCTGTTCAGTCATGTCCAATTTTTAGAGACTGTCTGGACAAGTCCCTATCATTTTCTTAGCATGGTTTTGGTTGCCATTGTCTTCTTCCTGGGACTGAGAAAGTGCCTGGTCACCCAGTGTGAAGTTTCCAAAGGATGACCTAATTAATTTACGAGCCTTGAGACAAAGTTCAAAAGAAATCCATTCATTTATTAGGATCAACATTTTGGCATGTTCTTCTGTGGCCGAAACTTCTGTGGCCGAATCAGCCGAAACTGATTTTCGCTTAATTGCGTTTGAATTTTACTCCTGTATCCTCTCCCTTCTGTCTGTGTCATAAATCATATCCACCAACAAGGTGCTACGGCAGGCTATGAACATGCGCATTTCACACACCAGCTGTAGGAATATGAGACCTGACTCTGGCCAAAGGTATGCATGGAATTCTCCTCCCTATCCTCCCTTTTTCTATGTCGACTTGATAGTAATCATGGAAACGCTTTACAAGTTGACACCCAGCTTATTTTGTGCCTAAATCAGGATTACTGCCTCGTGATGCCTCAACATTACACCAAATTGAATCTCTGATTTAGTTTAGCATAATGAAAAATCACATTGTACAAATCACAAGACATCTATGAGTCAAGGAGGCATCCCACCTGATCATTACCACCTCAAACTTGATACAAGTCACCTCCCTTGTCATCAGGCTATTTCTGAGGGAACCAATTGTATTGGGATCAGCTAGTGTCAGATAAAACTGGTGTTGACAGCAGAGAAGGTGAGGATTACATGAGTGGGTTCCACCTACAATCCAGAGGTTCACACCAATTCAGCCGAACCGTTAGTGAAAATTGCCACAGGATCACCAAACTAGTAGGGATGGCAGGCTGGCCACACCCCTGAACCAGTTCTCCGGTCTCCCATGCCGTTAGAAGCATGGTTTTTACTCTTGTTTTTTATGTTCTGAGCATGTGCAGAACAATTTTTCTGATGTGTGAGCGAAATGAGTGCATGCGCACAAAATGGCGCACACAGAGAACCGGTGGAAACGCTGGCAGCAACTCACCCCTGCTACAATCCTGCTGAATAGGCAAACGGAGATCAAGTAATAACTACTTAATATATTCTGGGGAGTGGATCATTTTACCAGCAGCTCAAAACTGCTGAGTGAATAACTGAATAACTGATTCTCTGCTTTTATATTAAGCTAAGTTACCATAATTCAAACACAGTGCTACATATCATCATGAGACCAAGAAATTCCATTGAAATATTGTGTGTGTGTATATATAATGAAAAAATTATGCAAAAAATACAGTTCTTAAATTTTGCATTTTTATACTCAAAGTTGACATGCTAGTCTGCATGTTTTACACACACACACACACACACACACACACACACTGTATCATTTCCCAGTCTGCCTTGAAGATTAAGCAAAAAATGAAATAAAAATCAATGTTTCTTCTTTAAATCACTTAAGATTCGCAGGTGATGTTGTTCTCTTCTCACAAGATTCAGAAGAACTACAAAGACACATACAACAGCTGCATGAAGCAGGATAACTGTTTGGCTTAAAAATAAACCTGTAAAAGAGCCAAGTTGTGTTTAATAAATTCACTAAAGAAAGATTTTTTTAATATCTGGAGAAGAACTAGATGTAGTAGGCCACTACATATATCTTAGCCAACAGATGATACAATAAATGTGTTTAAATGTGATTGGCAGGCATTCAGCAAGCTAAGCAGAACAACCTCCCCCTATGCCTGAAGAGAAAAATTTTCAATCACAGTGTGCTACTCTAACATATCCTGGTGAAATATGGAGACTAACCTCAATCGATACAAAAGCTACAAGAGGCACAAATGCCATGGAAAGATACATGCTTGGCATTACAAGATATGATAGAAAGATCTGCACCTAGATTGCAGAACAAACGACTATATACAATATCATCAAGAGAATAAAAGAATTGAAATAGAAATGAGCTGGTCACACAGCAAGAAGAACTGATGGCAGATGGACAAAGGCAGTTATAGAATGGGTCCTACTTGATAAAAAGCATCCACCAAAGAGACTTGAAACCAGATAAATTGACATCAGCAAGAATTACGGGCCCAATTGGCAAAATAAAGCTCAGGACCATATAGGAAAAGTCCTTCATCCTACAGTGGATAGGCAATGGTTAAAATGATGGTGAATATATATAGCATATACTTACAGAATTCTGTACTTATGACCACTATTGAGCCCAAAATTTCAATTGCTAAGCAAGACAGTTTTGCCCCATTTTATAACCTTTCTTGCCACAGTTATTAAGTGAATCACTGCAGTTGTTAAATTAGTAACACAGTTCTTAAATGAATCTGGCTTCCCAATTATAATAAATACATGCCAATTGTCAAGTGGCTGAATTTTGATCATGTGATTCTGTGGATGCTGCAATGCTCATAAGTGTAAAGTTACTTTTTTCAGTTCCAATGTAACTTCAAAAGGTCACTAAAAGAATGGTTATAAATCAAGGACTACCTGTATGTTATTAATTTCTATATCATTAATCTGGGAAGTTATCAATGCTAAATGAGAGAAAATATAATGAAGATTATTTGTTACCCTGCTAATGTTTCACTTGTTTTAGGTACTAGAGTAAGAAGAACACCGTCTGCCACAAAGACTTCTGCAAAAAAAGTAAAGAAACGAAACCCATGGTCAGATGATGAAACAAAATCTGAAAGTGACTTAGAAGAAAATGACCCTGTGATTATCCCAAGACATTCTTTACTTAGAAGAGCTGCAGGTAGCAATGCCACTATCTATAATGGAACAAAATCGTTAAGTTTTATATTGTAAATAAGTTTTAATAATTGACCACTGTTCTGTTGTGTTTAATCATTAAATCATATCAAAAAAGGCTTTTTTCATGCTTTTGAAAATAGCTTTTGTGTTGTCAAATAAAATGTTTTCCTTCTGACATCCCTATCATGCAGATCATTGTTGTATACAATAATATTCTGTCTAAAATTATCTCAGTGTCAACTTTTCATATTTTATCAAAAGTATAAACTTTTCAGTAAGTTTGCAGTGATGTGTTGCCCCTCATTGTATATATGGCTTGTTTTGAAACTGTTTTATCAGAAGGGGTTTTTTTTTTGGTGTCTCAACTTCAACAGTTCCATACAGCACACCTTTTAATAGATCTTTTCACCAGTTAAATCATTTAGCTGGAAACCTTTGTATTTTTTATACTTTAACTTGTTTTGTGATTTTTTTGTATTTTTCTGTCTGCGGAATTATCTTTTCCTGGTTACTTATGAGACCTAAAAGTCAATCATCTTTTGGATCTTACCAAATTTACAATAGAAAAATATCCAAACTTCTGCACTTACCATATCTACAATTATCGCCTTTTGAATGTGGAACAAATTATGCAATCAAATTTGCAGAAAGTTGGCCTATTTAGTGTTCATTGCAGTATTGATTTATTATTCAATGTTTATTGTCCTAGACTAATATGTTGCTAAAAAATATGTTGCAATGCTATAGGCTTCACACAATTATTCAAATGTTCATAGTATGAAATACAAAATATAACATTTAACATAAAACAAAAATTGTGGTTGTGTCTACTTTCCAGCTGAAAGGCCCAAATACACCTTTGATTTCTCGGAAGAAGAAGAAGATGCTGATGATGATGAAGATGCCAACAACAATGATCTTAATGAACTCAAAGTAAAAACATCTCCAAACATCAATGACAGAGAAGATGAATTTGTGCCTTCAGATAGTCTTGAAAAGGATGAATATGATTTCTCTCCAATCAAAACAAAGCCTTCTTCAGAGTAAGTGTGATAGGTTTGCGGTATCTTTGCGGTAAGTGTGATAGGTTTGCGATATCTTTTTAGTCTCTAACTAGCAGTATGAAGATTAACAAAATGTAAATTATTACATATCTGTAGGATGAGGTATATTTGCAGACATATTATGTATCTAAGGTGTCAACAGATGCTACCTGTTAAATATATATTATTTGGAGTATGTGTATTTTTTGACTATTGAAGTGAGGTAACATATAGAAATGAAATATAACTAGCCATTTGATCATACTTTTTATGTATTATATATTATTACATATTTCCTGTATAAGCTAATCTATGTATTATTATATACATTGCATTACAGTTCTGCATAAAATCAAATGCCTTTCCTCTGCAGTTTTTTTTAGGAGATTAGAAAGAGGAATTTTTAAATTAAAATTCTTTTTTTATCATAGGAAGGTTTCCCAAGACAAAACTAATCAAGATTTTGGTAACCTGTTCACGTTTCCTTCTTATTCTCGGAAAGCCAATATTGGTATGTATAAAATATATTAAATATTCAACTCAGTAGGCAATGCATTATTGAATAAGAAATCTTTGCTTAAAATCCATTGTCACTAAAGGCTACCAAACCTCTTCTTGAATCTCAGAAAATACTCTTCCTGGGAAATATCCAAAACATTTAAAAATTTGGTACATAAGACAGTTATGTTAAGATGATAAAAATATAAGTTCTTATTTCTTAATAAAACTCATTAGATGCTAGAAAATGGAATTCTGTTTTTGAAAATAAGTATTTATAAAATATGTTTATGTGAGATATTGCTAATTCTAAGGCAGAAGTGACACTATCATAAATAAATCAGAACAGTATTTTGTTGAGTTCAATATCTTCACAAATTTTAGACATGCCTAAATTGTATGCCTTTTCAAATATTTTAAGCATCTTCGTTAACTTGTATTATGTCATTTTAATATGAAAACAAAATTTATATTTAGTGTTTAGAAGGTAATAATTGGCATGTATGGCATTAAAAACATTTTGTATTTTGTAGATACATCAAAATTTGACAGTGATGAGGAAGATTCAACACCAGTCTTTTCTTCAACTTTTATTCCAAAACAAACAGAGACACTTTCAAGTAAAACAGTTGTTACTAAAAAAGGCAAGTGTTTGAAATTTACTAGTTACATTTACTATTTTACTTTCTCTTCTAAATTTAATGCTTTTGATAATTAGCATAAAATATAAAATGTGATAACTTCATGTTTTAAGATGAGAACATGCTAAACATTGTTCTATTAAAACTTGTAAAGAGCATATCTCTTCTGAAACACTGGTATGGTACAGAAGTATAGGTACAGAATACAATCTAGCATATAAAAGAAGTCAATCTCTCTGTAATAGTTTTGAAAATACTGTCCGAGAAGTAGATTTAATTTTGTTAACACTTAATTTTGTCAGTGTATGGGACAGAGAAAAAAGAATTAGTAGAAATCTAATCTGTTGATGCTTCTGCAATTTATCATTTATTTACATAATTAACAGCAAAACTATCATCAGATATGCCCTCTAAGCTGAAAAGATCTCCAAAACCTAAGAAGATGGAACTAATAAACTCTGATTCAGAATCTGAATTTGGTATTCCAAAGAAGTCCATTGTTCCCAAAGGTAAAAAAAAGCTGATGTAACTTCCAATTGAGTTAATGCTGTAATACACATTTTTAATCTTATTCTTATTTGACAGTAACTGATTTTCTTGTTAAAAGGCAGCAGCTGAAGTGTATTAAGACATCTTTTTCTTATATATGTATTTTTAATGTTTATATAAAATGACCAATTTAGAAATATTTACTGAATTTATACTATCAAAAAAGCAAGTATATTATAGTTTTATTTTATTAAAGAATTCTTTAGTGTTCTCAGAACAATGTAAAATCAATAATGAAAACAGACACAATAAAAAGGAAAAAGTAATTCAAACTACCTATAATATAATACCAATATAGCCCTCGATTTAAAACATTTCATTTAGTGCCTGTTCGAAGTTACGACTTCATACCATCATACCATTGTAGCATCCCCATGGTCATGTGATCAAACTTCAGACCCTTCACTCATATTTATGATTGTTGCAGTGATTCACTGAACTGTAGCAAGAATGGTCATAAAATGAGACAAACCACACTTCACAACTGTCTCACTTAGCAACAGAAATGTTGGGCTCAATTGTGGTCATAAGTCAAGAGCTACCTGTACAAAAACAATTCAAATGGCACATTTTGCAAAATGTAGCCATCCCAAATTGAGATGCAGAAAAGTAGGGAAGAAAATGGTAAGTGAGCGCCTCTCTACCCTGGACAAGTTCAAATCACCAGGACCAGATGGATTACACCCCAAGATTCTGAAGGAACTGGCAGCCGAGATCTCAGAATCACTTAACTATATCTTTCAAAAATCCTGGAGCACCAGGGAACTGCCAGAGGACTGGAAAAGAGCTAATGTAGTTCCCATCTTCAAAAAGGGGAAAAATAGATCCAGGAAACTATAGACCTATCAGCCTGACCTCAATAGTAGAGAAGATTCTGGAAAAGATAATCAAGCAACAAATCAGCGAACACCTAGAAGCAAACAAATAATAACCAAAATCCAATATGAGTTTGTCAAAAACAGACCATGCCAGACTAATCTTATCGCATTCTTTGACAAAGTGACAAAATTAGTGGATCAGAGGAATGCTGTCCATATAAATTACTTGGACTTCAGTAAGGCATTTAGTAGTAGACCATAACCTACTACTAGATGAAGTAGAAAAATGTAGGTTAGACAACATCACCACCAGATGGCTTTGTAACTGGCTGACCAACCAAGCTCAATGTGTAGTCCTCAATGGAACTGCATCTGCATGGAGGAAAGTATGCAGTGGAATATGCAAAGACTCTGTTTTAGACCCAGTACTCTTCAACAACTTCATCAATTATTTGAACGAGGGGATAGCTGGAGAACTCATCAAATTTGTAGATGACACCAAGCTGGTAGGAATAGCCAACACTCCAGAAGATAGGCTCAAGATACAGAAGGATATTGACAGACATGAACATTGGATGCTATCTAATAAAATGAAATTCAATGGTGAAAAAAGTAATGTTCTACATTTGGCAAGAAAAACAAAATGCCTAGGGACAGTATATGTGCTACCCTGCTCAATAGTAGTAGCTGTGAGAGGGATCTTAAGAGTCCTAGTGGACAACCATTTAAATATGAGCCAGCAGTGTGCAGCAGCTGCCAAAAAAGCCAACACAGTTCTAGGCTGCATAAACAAGACAGATAGAATCAAGATCACGTGAAGTATTAATACCATCTTATAATGCCTTTGGTAGGGCCATATTTGGAATACTACATCCAGTTTTGGTCACCACAATGTAAAAAGATGTTGAGACTCTAGAAAGAGTGCAGAGAAGAGCAATAAAGATGATTAGGGGACTGGAGGCTAAAACATGAAGAACGGTTGCAGGAACTGGGTATGTCTAGTTTAATGAAAAGAAGGACTAGGGGAGACATGATAGCAGTGTTCCAATATCTCAGGAGCTGCCACAAAGAAGAGGGAGTCAAGCTATTCTCCAAAGCACCCGAGTGGGACAAGAAGCAGTGGGTAAAGACTAATCAAGAAGGAAAGCAACTTAGAACTGAGGAGAAATTTCCTGACAGTTAGAACAATTAATCAGTGGGAAGTTGTGAATATTCCAACACTGGAAATTTTTGAGAAGATATTGGAGAACCATTTGTCTGGAGTGGTGGTGGTTTTCCTGCCTAAGTAGTGTGTTGAACTAGAAGACCTCCAAGATTCCTTCCAGCTTATTCTATTTTAAGTGCTTCTTGGCTATCCTTAATAGTCATAAAGGTTCATTCTGGAAGAATTCCATCAAGTATCTGGGCCTACTTCATCAACTTGTTTTTCAGAAAGGAGTCAACTTAAATGCAGTTTGTCTGAATCTACTTTCTCTCAGAAGAACAAAAGAAGAAAGTAGTTTGTGTCCCATAGCAACACATAACAATCCGGTAGTAGCCACCAAAATACTCAAATCTTAATTTCTTGTCATGACAGAGATAAAGAAAATATGGAGATCACTAGACAGATTTTGACTCAATTTCAATTTGCGTAATAATCTGTCAGTCAACAACTTCTACAGTATTCCATAGTTACTGAAATTGTTGACCTTAGTCAACAATTTAATATAGTTTTTTCATTCTTTCCAAAATTAAAATATGGAATACTTTACAGATACTTTGCATGTGATAATAATACAACAATATACATAAGGCCAGATCTTACAACAATTACAGTTATTGCAGAAATTGTAATTTCATAAATGTACTCTGGACACCACTGAAAACAGTTGTTTTCATGTTTAGAATTAAATCTACAAATTAATTCAGTCTGTAATGGGCAGAAATATGCAAAGCAGTTGAATGTTTGTCTTGTCTAAACTATCCATTTTTATGTTTTAACTTCTTACATATTAGTTAATTTGAACAAAATTTGATCATATTCTTTAAATTTTGATGACAAGGAAAAACCTGGGTTTCCTTCAGTGCACCAATGCTTAGAAACTCCAAGAAACCTTTGTAAGCATTTCTATAGATAAAGTATAAAATTGTAAAAGAAAAAGCAGAATTAAGAGACACAAAATAAAACCAGCTACGAATAACAACTAAAAGTTAAAACTATATTTATTATTATTGAAGATCCAGGCAAGTAAAAAAAACAAAAACAGAACAGCAAATAATAGATTTTGGGGTATTAATTATAGTTTTAGCCAATCAGAAAAAAGGTGTTTCCTGTAACTATTGGTTGCTATAGCATTTAAGAGATTTCGGTCTATATTTTAATCTATTAATATCCTATTAAGGATAGTGAGTTGGTAAGTTTGTTTTTATTAATATAATAATTAAATTGGTATGCACAATTTCTCAAGAATAAAAACATACAGCTTCTGTCTGTCATTCAATCAAGGACCTTGCTTTGAGAAATTGGTTCTAGTAACAAATAGCAAGGAATGTTGGTTCTATTGGATTAATTATTATATGGAAAGAGTAAGTATTTAATAATAATAGTAAATAATAGTAATTCCTCTAAAAAAATTGTATTTAATGATTTCTAAAACTTTAAATTTTATTTGTTTACTATGGTTATGATGATTATGACATCCATTCAGTTGTATCATTCAGTTTTACCATTTATTATGGTAAAACACAATGAACTGAGGTAGATTCTCCCTTTAATCTTTTAATAGGAAAAGGCAGGGGAGCGAAAAAAAGGAAAATATCCGGTTCTGAAAATGAAGGTGAATATAACCCTGGAAGAAAATCACCCAAGTCAATTCCGAGCAAGGTAATTTAACAAACTTCTAGATACATTTAGAGGTTATTAATAGCAATAGCAATTAGACTTATATACTGCTTTACAGCCCTCTCTATGCAGTTTACAGAGTCAATCTATCGCCCCCAACAATCTGGGTCATTTTACCCATTCGGAAGGTTGGAAGGCTGAGTCAATCTTCAGCCTGGTGAGATTTGAACTGCCAAATTGCAGGCAGCCGGCAGGCAGCAGAAATAGCCTGTAGTTCTGCAACCAGTGTGCCTCTTAATGATGAAAGCATTGTAAATATTCATGCGTTAGCTTGCATAAATTGTCTTTTTAATTGCATCTTAACAGCTTTAAATGGCTACATAACTGACATCACCAGTAACTTTTAATAATTATTTTAAAACAGAAACTGAAGAAAACAGCCTTTGATCAGGATTCTGATGTAGACATTTTACCATCTGACTTTGCTTCTGAAACAACTTCCAGGCCACGGACAGGTCGCGCAAGAAAAGAAGTGAAGTATTTTGCAGAGTCTGATGAAGATGATGATTTTCCTATGTTTTAATTAAGTGCTGAAAGAGCACACAAACTTCCAACAAATATCTTATGTTGTCCTTTTCTGTCGCAGACTTTTTGTACATTTGACTTATTTTATGTGATGTAATTGATGGTTTTTATTATTGTGTGTAGGCATTTTAACATTTTGTTCTTACACTTACAGTTTTATGCTCTTTTTTACTCATTGAAATGTCATGTGTCTGACCGGCTTGTAGAAATGTTCTAGAGAGCTGTGCAAAAAGCACACATTTTAATTGTCATGGTTGCAAACGGCAACTTTTTGAAATGAAGTTTAAACATTAAAAATATAAAACCATTTACTTGTGTACAGAGCTTTCTCTAAATAAATTTTGTTTATACAGGGTCAAAATAAATATATTTTATTTTTTGCCAAGATAATTCATGGAAAAAAGTAAACAGCATATGAACATAGAAAGCATTGTTAAACAATCTCAATGTACAAACAGAGCCAGTGAAAGTACATCACAGATTTGCTAGAATATATAAAAAAATCCACTAGTGCTTTTAATGAAACCTAAAAAAAAACCTGACACTTTAAAAAAGTGTAACAATTCTACCACATTTTCACTGTTTTATGGTGATTAGCAAGGTCATTGAGACAGATTCCATCATCTGTTTCAAGGTGTCCCAGTGCCAGTCCTGTGATGCCACAGAAAGAATGATAGGACTGAGGAACACTTTCTCCAGAGTGGTTTTTTTCCCACTAGTGCCACCGATTCAGAGGTAGTGATTATGCCTGGTTATTATTTCACCAAGTTACCTAATAGCTTGTGAAAAAGTAAAATAACACTGTAAAGTGTTTTTGCCTTTAAGGCTATAAATGAAGTAAAATTTCAGTATTTTTAAAAGTAGAGAAATCAATAAAGTAAGAAACCCTTTGTATATATTTAAAGTGACATTAACAATAGAACAAATTATGTTCAAATAACTGAGCTGGCAGTTACACTCCCACAAAAGTTACTTCTGCTAATGCAGTGAAATTCTTTGATCTTTTGCTGGGAAATAAGTAATACACTGAGGTCTTTAAAAAGAGCAATGATAAGTTTTCATCCTAACTAAGACTGTCTTTTAAAATGTTCTTATCCAGACAAGTATGTTATCCATTTCTAAGGGATGTCTTGGGCATTTCATGTACACATTTAAAAAGGGAAAGCATCAAACATCCAGGATAAAAAGTACATATTCATATATTTTATATGTACAAAGTCATCAGAAATGGTATAACCACGACTTTTAAACCTCTTTGAGATCAATCTTGTCACTTGCAATTTTGGATATTCAAAAGAAGTAATAGCAACATATCAGTTTGTTTATTTCATGAAATCAGAGATTCAGAGCATAGTCCTACAAATGTAGAGAAGAAATGGAACTTACTCTGTGTGTGTCAGCGCGCACGCGCACACACACATACCTTCACACAATATAGATACATATGAACAATTATTGGTCCTTTTGGGTTGTAGTGTCTGTAAAAGTCCAGAAAACAAGCAGCCGTAGAGAGAATATGCTATGTCATCCTTGTGCATCAAGAGTTAGGAATTTCATTAGAGAAAATGTCTTACTGCACCAAAGGAGACTGAGTGACGCTGTTATTATCTACCAAGCTTGGGGAAATACTTGGACTGTGCTCTGCTGTGGTCACTGTTGAGCTTGGTGTCAATGGTTCATGTCCTTCTGAGTTCTCCAACATTTCCTGGATAAGAGGTGGCATAGATCCAGGGATCTCCATTTTCAGTGTAATAACACGTTCAGCACCTTGTGAATTGTTCAGCAAAGGAAAAAAGAAATGTTTAGTATGTTGGAATTTTTTGCAGTCATACTTCACTTTTCTCAGAGGATAAGAAATTTATGTACTATTAATACTAATACATAGAATAATCCACTTATTAAATGGATTATTGCAAGAAACCATGTCTATGTTTGAGTAAGAGCAGTAGGAAAACTATTTAGGTGTTTGATTAGAGTGTTTCCTATATATTCAGAGCTGGTAACTAGGAAAAAGAATCAATTAACAATTATAAGGTAGAGATTTTATAAACAGAAAAATGACCAAAATTTAGAGAATGGATTATAAGGCCATCTTGCTTCTTTGGATATCTGTAAAACTAAAAAGTACTATTTAGATGTATTGTTTGGATGGCCACATAAACAAGCTGCACCTGGATTCTTATGTGCAAAGTCTTAAAATTATTGTTAAGGAGCAAGAAATCAAAAGTTTATTCAAAATATGATAAAATCATAGCTGTGAATTTTTATTTAACTGAGTGCCATATTTGAGAAACTATTAAACCATATGATAAAAAGCTTTAAAAAAAGCTAAACAATTATAGAGAAATCGTATAATGTGAAAGAGGAATATTTCCAAGATGAAATAACATGTTTCAAAACATGGAGTCTTGAAAATCAGGGTTTAGGGAAAATGTCTATGTAGCAGTTCTTTGGAATTTTTAAAACTTTTTCATTAGTAATTTAAAAAAAATCATGCAGTCATTCAGAACATTCAATTTTATTTTGTTTTATTTCTATTTGATAAACTGCAACAATTCATTTAAACTAGCAGAAAAGTACTTCTGTTGAATTCAATTAATCTTTAGTTAATATAGTCAACCTTTAGGAACCCTTTTGGATTACTCGTTTTCTGAACAATGTTCAGAATAAACAGGCCTACCAACAAAATTGATCATCTTAGCAAAAATATGGCAAAAAACTTTTGTTTACATACCAGTTTATACTAAAAGATATGATTATTAAAATGTTGAATTCAACTGCCTAAATTTCAAGGAAAGTCAAATATACCCACTTATGGTCATATGTTTCAATTGAAAGGCGTAAGTCATGAAAAAAAACATGTTCTGGTTAAGATGTGACAATTAACATTTGCACCTTATCTCTTAAAAAAAGGGGGTACAGCTTTGACTAAGCAGGCATAGTTGCCATTTTTATTTTTTGAGCTTCCATATGAACACTTCAGAAGAAGTGATTTTTTTACCCCGGAAATAATGGTATTCCTCAGCCAGTATAGTAGATTTAGCAATATCTATTACTGACTAACTTATCTTTATATCTCTGGTAGCTCATCATATCAGAAGTCTGAATCTGCTCTGTCCATTAACCAATTTTTTCCAGCCCTCCCAACAACTCTGAAAGAAGTTGGTAATTCATTTTCCTACTTAACTCTTTTCGTCTTACCATTTAAAAAAAAAAACTCTTCTGATCATGCAATCAGAATGAGTGGCATTACAATCATAGCTAGGTAGGCAGGCTTTAAAAAGATCTTGACAAACTTGAACAATGGACCTTATCCAACAAAATGAATTTTAATGTGAGGAAAAGCAAAGTTTTACATTTAGACAGGAAAAATCAAAGTTGTAAATACAGATTAGGTGAGACTGGCTCAAAAACAGTAACTGTGAGAGGGACCTTGGAGTCTTATTGGATGATCTCTTGAATATGAGCCAGCAGTGTGCAGTAGCAGCCCAAAAGGTTAATACAATCCTGGGTTATACAAATAAACATAGAATCAAGATCACTTGAAGTATTAAGTATCACTTTATAAAACCTAGTAAGACCATATCTAGAATACTGCAACCAATTTTAATCACCATACTACAAAAAAAGGTATTGAGACTTTGGAAAAAGTTCAGAGAACAGCAACTAAGATGATCAAAAGCCCGGAGACTAAACGGCTGCAAGATTTGGGTTTGGCTAATCTAAAGAAAAGAAGATTAGCAGCAACATGATAGCAGTATTCTAGTATTTGAGGGACTGCCACAAAGAAGAGAGGGTCAAATTATTCTACAAAGCACTAGAGGGCAGGACACGAAACAATGATTGGAAACTAACCAAAGAGATAAGAAATCTGGAATTAAGGAGAAACTTCCTAACAGTGAGGACAATTAATCAGTTTGCCTTCAGAAATTGAGGGGGCTCCATCCCTTGAGGTGTTTAAGAAGAGACTGGGCAGTCACTTGTCTGATATTGTATAGGTCCTCCTGCTTAAGCAGGAGGCTGGACTAAAAGACCTCCAGGTACCCTTCCAGTCTATTCTATTCTGTTCCTGGACACAGGAGACTGCAGTGCGTTGCAGCTGCCAAAAGCCAAAGCAGTCCTAGGTTACATTAATAGAGTCAAGATCACATGAAGTGTCAATACCACACTATAATGCCTTGATAAGACTACGCTTCAAATACTGTATCCAGTTTTAGTCACCATGATGTAAAAAAGATGTTAACACTCTAGAAAGAGTACACAGAAGAATAACAAAGATGATTAGGTGATTGGAGGTTAAAACATATAAAGAATGGTTGATGGCATTAGATATGTCTAGTTTAATGAAAAGAAGGACTAAGATGGCCTGATAGCAGTTCTCTTTACCTGGCTTTTTACATTTAATCCTAAATGTTACTACTTAACTTAAAAAAATGATTCTGCAATGATAACTTTTTGTTATTGATGAGCTCATCATGATTATGTAAATCTGAAATTTACATAACTCAAGTTCAGGATCAAGATTTTGTTTTCATTAAGGAAACTGAATGGATGCAAACATAACAAGGATATCTAAGGGATTGTCATAAAGAAGGAGGAGTCAATCTATTCTTCAAAGCACCTGAAGGCAGGACAAGAAGCAATGAATGGAAACTAATCAAGGAGAGAAGAACTAAGAAAAAATTTCCTGATAGAATAATCAGTGGAACAACTTCTCTCTGATAGTTGTGGATGCTGGAAGTTTTAAAGAAGAGATTGGACAAACATTTGTCTGAAAAGGTATCCAACTGTGGCAACCTATGGGCCTCATGCATCATGCCCTGGCCACACCCACCCCAGCTCCATGAAGGGAAAAAACATCACAATATATCACGTGATGCAATGTGATGCAGCGAGTTTGACACCCATGATATAGGATTTCTTGCCTGAATAGGAAAGACATAGATCCCATCCAACTGTTATTCTGTAAAAGGTATTAATGCCTTTCTTAAAATGTACTTCTGTAACTCTTTTAGCATTAACCAGCTGGGTCAACAATTGCAATTGTCAACAATCTCCTGTTGACAATCATCTTCCTTAAAAAGTTATCAAATTTACCTTTTGCACTGATACTGCGCAGATCTGTAATTTTCATTAAGATTTTTGGAAACATATGAGGTTTGCTGGGTCTTCTTTTTCGGATGTATATTTTGAGAGCTTCTAGTAATGGCTCCTGTAGTTCATCTATTTTTGTTGGTTCTTCGAGATCCTGGCGGTCTGAGAAAGTATAATTGTTAAATGTCTGTACTCAAACATCAAACCGTTATAAACACATGCTATGAAGGCTTCCTATTTTCCTTTGTTATTACTTTCCTTTGTGCTGGAGATTTTTAAAAAAAAATCAATTCCTACTTGTCATCCCTGTGGTAACATTCTTTGCACAACTTGTTTTTTTCTAACTGATGAGATTGCAACTGATGAACTATTTTATTTCCTCTTTTCCAGCTGTAGACCATTGAACTGCCAAAAGTAAATATTTATATAAATTCCAACATGAAGTATCCATAAAATTTTAATTTGTAAAACAGTAACATAAAACAACAACATAAATTTCAAAGATTAGTGTAATGTATATTCTTTCTTTTATATTTTTATTTCTTTTGTATCCCTGATCCCAGAGCAATATTGCCTTTGTGTGCCAGTAGGTGTCAGCAAAAGATTAAAGGAAAGCTAGATCTATTGCTTTCCTCCATTCATACTAAACACTGAAAATTGTTACTAATGCTTCCTTCTGAATGTATCTATCACAAGATTTTGTCTGAAGGAATATATGAAGAAATATTTAGATTTTGGCTGTGCTTCCTCCAATTTTTTCCAACATCCAAACATTTTTAACTATCATAGCACTCCAATTTTGATTAGAGTTACTTTATTTCAAGGCATTTCAGTATCACCTTCTTTCTTTCTAATCCCTTTACACAGAATTCTCTGTTTCACAGTTACCATATCATGACTTCTCTTCTTCAGCTACCACCAGATTTCATCTCTTGAGTTTAGAACATTAAGAAGCCAAAACAAATAGAAAAACATGACAGATAGCTGATTACTTGAGGGACTACCTATCTCCCCACTGTATCTGGCCAAGCAAATCAATTCAGGTTCCTTCAATTAAGCAGTGCTACGTATCCGAACTCTGGGAGAATGCCTTCTCTTGATGTATTTACCCCTGCAGAACTGAACAGTCCCCATCCTACTAATGTTTCAAGAGACCAGAACACCTGGCACTTATCCAAGCCTTTGGTGGGGATGATTGAAGCTCCTTTTTAACTTAGGTAGGTTTCCTTTATTAACCCAGTTGATTATTCTACCACCAGTACCCATTTTTGTTTCTTATTTTTACTGTCACGTTTTAAATATGTGCCAAACTGCGAAGTCTCTGAGAATTGGGCAGCATATAAATTGAATATATATTAGCAATAAGGCTTTCTCAATATCTGATCGTAATTCGTAATTTAATGAGGTTATATGCCGCCCAAACCCGAAGGACTCCAAGCAGCTTACAAATACGAGATAAAATAAAATAACAAATAGGGGATAGAAACGAAAACAATTTAAAAAACACAACATACATTCGGTTTAGCTGGGGGTTGGACCTGATTTATAGATCAACAGCCCCAGGCCTGCCAGAACAGCCAGGTTTTGGTGGCTTTTTGGAAGGCCGCAAGAGTGGGAAGGGTCCGGATCTCGGCGGTCAGATCATTCCACAGAGCCAGAGCAGCTACAGAAAAGGCTCTCCCCCGAGTGGTCGCCAGCCGGCATTGTCCGGTCGACGGCACCTGGAGGAGGCGTAGCCTGTGAGTTCTTATCGGCCGTTGGGAGGTATGCAGCAGGAGGCAGTCTCTCAGATATCCAGGTCCAAAGCCATGTAGGGCTTTAAAGGTAATCACCACCACCTTGTAGCGCGTCCGGAGATCAATAGGGAGCCAGTGCAGCTCGCGGAGGATAGGTGTAACATGGGTGTACCGAGGTACACCCGATATCACTTGCGCGGCTGCATTCTGGACCAACTGCAGTCTCCGAACACTCTTCAAGGGCAGCCCCATGTAGAGTGCATTGCAGTAATCGAGCCTTGAGGTGATGAGGGCGTCAGTGACCATTCGAAGTGCCTCCCGGTCCAGACAGGGCCGCAACTGGTGCACCAGACGAACCTGGGCAAAAGCCCCCCTGGTCACCGCCAACAAATGGTGTTCTAATGTCAACTGCGGATCCAGGAGGACACCCAAGTTTCGGGCCCTCTCTGAGGGGTGTAGGCTAATAGATGGAGAATCTGGACTATCCTTGGGAGGAAACATCAATAGCCACTTGGTCTTGTCTGGATTGAGTGACAGCTTGTTCACACCCATCCAGACCCTAACAGCCTCCAGGCACTGGGACATCACTTCCACTGCTTCGCTGGCACGGGGCAGACAGATACAGTTGAGTATCGTCCGCATATTGGTGGTGTTTAATCCCGTGCCAGCGAATGATCTCACCCAGCGGCTTCATGTAGATGTTAAATAGGAGGGGGAACAGGACCGAGCACTGCGGCACCCTGTATTTGAGGGGCCTAGGGGTCAACCTGTCCTCCAACCAACACCAACTGCGACCTGTCTGAGAGGTAAGAGGAGAACCACCATAAGATGGTGCCTCACACTCCCACCTCCCCCAGTTGTCGCAGAAGGATACCATGGTCGATGGTATTGAAGGCCGCTGAGAGATCAAGAAGCACCAGGATAGAGGAATATCCTCTATCCCTGGCCCCCAGAGATCATCGGTCAGCGCGACCAAAGCAGATTCGGTGGAGTAACCAGGCCCGACTGGAAGGGATCAAGATAATCTGCTTCATCCAAGGACCGTCGGAGTTGAAAGGCCACCACCTTCTCAACAACCTTCCCAGCAAAGGGGAGGTTGGAGACTGGACGATAGTTTTTAAAGATAGCTGGATTCAGAGAAGGTTTCTTAAGGAGGGGTCTCACCACCTCATCCTTTAAGGGCTGCGGGAAAGATCCCTCCTGTAAAGAGGTATTAATAATTCTCTGGAACCAGCCTCGTATAACCTCCCTGCTGGCTGAAACCAGCCAGGAGGGACACGGGTCCAGTAAGCAGGTGGAGGCACTTACCGCTCCCATGGCCTTGTCCACTTCCTCAGTAAGGCAGGAAATATCCTGCAATAGCTAGCGAACTTCCTCCTGCTTCCATGTTAACCTCATCAAAAATTAAAATCCTGTTGGCAAAATCTGGAGCAATGATAGCTTAATCAACCTATTCCACAATTAAGCTGATGTCTTTAAGTAGGCCAGTTTCAGTGTCATCCATTTCCAACGGCAGAAGCTGATTGGCAAATGTGAACACAAGATCTGTCAGGGGACCAAATCCAGCATTATGCATCTGAGTTCGGTTTAGCGTAAGGCCATCAGAAAAGGTCATTGTGTCTTGTTCAGGGGTGTATCTTGTGCAAATGCGAAGGATCTGGGAAGGAAGGAGGGAAAGGAAGAAAGAAAAATTATGTCAATTCAGGAAGGTTAAAAATGATGGGTTTTGCAAATAATCGTTATAGTTATTGCCTCCATCAATGGGTTTGACTAAACCAAAATCTCTCTACAATTTTGGAACCACCACTTAAATAAATCCAACAGTGTACATCTTATGCCATCAAATACTAAATGTTAACTCAAAGGTTAAGACTCAAGTATTGTGTTCCCTCAGAAATACTTATTTGAAATAAAATAATTTAGGTGTTTTAGGCCAAATGCTCATTTTTTCCCTCTAACTTTTCTATATAACAATTGTTTTCATATGTATCACATATGTCTTAATAAGAGGTAAAAATTTCTGTCTGCCATTATTGCAATTTTTCTTTCAAGTGAAGAAAGGGAAGGCGATGTATTATACTACAATGGAGCACCCCTGTCCATTCAGGGTTGAAATTGATCAAGGTTTGTTCTCTCTGTTGGTTTGTTAAATGTTTTTGCCACCAATCTTGCAGCAACTGTGGATGGTTTACAAACATCAAAATAAAACCATAAATACATATAAAATCATATAAAATCCAATAAAGTTGTAATAAAAATACAGGTAAAATAATATTATTAAGCAGAAAACAAAACACTGCAATGAGTTTAATTTATAGCAAAGTGTATCCTGATTGAATGTTTGAGGTATTCAAGTGGAAACTAGTCAGTCTTTCTGTTGTGTTCTGTTCCGGATTCCTTACAGGAGAAGTCTCAAAACTCAGCAACTTTAAGAATACCCAGAATTCCCCAGCCAGTTGAAGTCCACAAGTCTTAAAGTTGCCTTACAGAACAGGATTTGGAGTTGAAGATCCAGATTACTCATTCTAATTTTGAACACTAAGAATCTTGCTAAAATTTATATGAAAAATCACACTGATGCTGGAATTTGACAGCTTGAAATCTTAGTCCTCTCAGAATAACAGAACAGAATAACAGGGCTGTTATTGGAGGTCTTCTGGTCAAACCCTTGCTCAAGCAGAAAACCCTATAATGGTTTTATAGGACAAATGGTTGTCCAATCTCTTCTTAAAAACCTCCAACGTTGGAACATCCACAAGTCACTAAAGTCATTTCACTAATTAACTATCTAACTATCAGGAAATTTCTCCTCAGTTCTAGTTTGCTTATTGTCAGAGATTTTACAGTATCCTTCCCCAGGAGTAGGGTGGAAATGGAGATTTTACAGTATCCTTCTCCCAGGAGTGGGGAGGGAATGGGAATTTTGCAGTATTGTTCCTCTGCCATATCCACCAAGCCACACCACACCCATTAAGCTATGGCCATAGAATCAGTAGCAAATATTTTTGAATCCCACCACTGGTACGGGTGGGTCAAGAGAGTGTGGGGCTGCGGTGTGCTGTCCCCCATGCCCCAGGCAGCTTCAGAGAGGCCTTCTTGGTCCAAAACATGGAACAGGGGTGTGTGGCATCCCCCCCCCACAGCCCGTTTCTTGTCCCAGGATGCTTCAGGGAGGCCTGCTAGACCAAAATGGGGCACAGGGAGAATGTCCATGCACTGGGAGGGGTGTGTGTGGCAGGGGGTCACATGTTCATCGTATTATGGGTATGGGCATGCACACTTTCGACACTCGACAGCAAAAGGGTTAGCTATCATTGTGCTATAGTATACATTGTCAGCTGTGACACTTCTATAGAGAGGTGTATGCCTTTCGAAATCATATCCATTCAATTTAATTTTACCACAGGTAGACTCCATTCAAAATGTAGAGGCATGTCAGCAACAATCAAGAGAAATGGGAGGCACTAAAGCTAAATTTCAAGTGTCATTGCAAAGGTCTGAATACTTATGCCAATGTGGCATTTCAGTTTTTTCTTTTTAATAAATTTACAGACATTTCTAAAATTCTGTTTTCACTTCGTCATTATGGAGTACTGAATGTAGATTAATGAGAAAAAAATGAATTTCAACAACTGTAGAATAAAGCTGCCACACAACAAAATTGACAAAAGTGAAGTCTGAATACTTTCTGAATGCACTTTATCTGTAATTAAGAATAATCTTTCATCTTTAGAGAAAGTCCTGCAAGAAAGAATTATACCATAATTAATCCTATAATGCAAAAGTGGACAATTTGAACCCCTAGTTTGAAACAGGACATAGTTTCATTTCATGTGGGTTTTTTTTTGCCTGATAGCAATCAATTCAGACTTCTCAGCAAGCAGAAGAGAGATAGGTCAGGGGAAGAGAAAACAAGCATAGAAAAAAAAAAGAAAAAGGAGTGATCGGAAGAGCATAAAGCAGGGGTGTCAAACTCTCATCGTCAAGGCGTCATCACATGATGTATTGGGACTTTTTTCCCCTTCACTAAACTGGGCAGTGGTGGGTCCAAGTTTGACACCCCTGGCGTAAAGCGATATTCAAAAAAGTAAGAATGCCGCACCTACCTAGCTACTTCTACTTTTGGCCTCACCCAAACAGTGAGAACATAAAGGATCACACGATGATCAGATATACACGAGAGAAATGTCTCCATTCCTCCAGAGAATAAAGTTGTCCAAAATGCTAAAGATGACACATATCTATATGAGATATATTACCATCTGTGCCAAAAGCTTGGTCCAATCCTGTCTGGGATCCAGAAAGGTTCTTGAAGCAAGGGAAGATTATAGAAGATTATATCTGGCTGCTGATAAATTTTCCAGGAAAATAGCAAGAAGCCTCTTAAGAGTGAAGAGTTGGAGAGAAGCTAAGCTAAGAAAATTCCCTCTTATCTTTATTTAAAAGAGCCATACCAGTAGTAATATAGTAACCATTTATTAAGCTACTTTGCCTCTCAACTGCAGTTCAACTTCCTTCTCAGAATTCTTCATCAGGTATGCTTGAAACTATGCCAGATTTTATAATTCATGGCATTACTTCACTGTTATGTTACAGCAGCATTAACTATGGCAGGCAAGTAATTGACAATAGATGTGTCTGTCTTGAAGAAAGAGCATACACAATAAAAAGAAGACTAACAAATGTGAAAGCCTAGGCAAAAAAGGACTCTTCTACATGCATCTTTGAGGTGCACGCTAATCTCCTCTTGCCTCTTTTCTTCTCATCATCTTGTAGTAGTGGTAGTAGAACTTGCAAGAAAAGGAAAAGAAGCTACAGTACTTACCATATTTCCCTTCCTAGGATTTTGTTACAAATTTTCAACCAAACTTTATAGGTTTCTATAAATAATATTAATTATTTTAGTGGGCAATGTTCCTATACAAACCAAACTTCAAATCTACTTAACAAGAAGCAATTAGGGGAATTAGTTCTGTATTACTACTTTACCCTAAAACAAAGATAGGGAATGTATGGTCCTTCAATTGTTGCTGTTCTGGCTGTACTGGCTAGAGCTAATGATATTAAGAGCCTGCAGAGCACAGACTCTCCATTCTGTCCTTAAAAATGATTAATCACATGCACATGAACTCTCACAACTTTTACTAGGGATCACAAATTTATAAGATAGGAGCAGTGTCCCTGAACTTTAAAAAAGGAAACATTTTGGATCTTAGTGCTACAAATTCTGAACAGAAAAACTACATTCTTCAGTTCCGCAATACATCTCTTTCTGATCCTTTTGTTTACCTCTAATCATGGGAGAAGAAAGGCATTCAGTTTCAATTTCCAATTGCTTAAAATTGACAGTCTCTCTCCTTAGAACTTGTTTGGATAGATACAGGGGAATTGGGAATTGGCTAGTTACAGCTCTTTTGAGCACCTTTTGTTTCCTAGAGCAAGGTATGAGAAATACCATTAACTGCAAGAACTTATTTTAGTGTGAAGCAGGTTCCCTGCCTCAAATGAGTATTCTCTCTCCCCCCTCCCCTCCCTCTCTCTCTTCATACACACTTATTCTCACATACACACAGCAATGCTGTAACATGAATCAAAGTGACAGCCTTCTTTGTTCCCAAGAATGCCTCTGCTTCATTTAAAAGTGTGCTTGCCTGACTATGCTGGAGTGAATGGGGATGAATATGAAGAAGCTAGAGAAAACAGTAGAAATATTATTGCTAGCTTGTTTGCTATATAAAAATGCAAACATTTCCATGGCACATGCCCATCCCCAAAGATTATTGTGCCTGTTATCTTTCTATTACCAGTATTCATCAGCAAGACTCCTCCTGAATACACTGATTTGGAAGCAAAAGTGAACAGAATACTGTAAAGAGACAAGTTACATACCAAAATGTCCAAGCAAGCAGCCTTAAGTAGTGTGATCTGGTCTGCAATTGTCAAACTTGTGAAACCAGGCAATCGTTTTGCAAATTCCACTATTTTAATAATGCACTTTGTTGCAAGTTCACTGAATTTGTCCCAAAGCCCAAGGTCCAGACGAACTCTATGGTCCGCACTAGAGTTCTAAAAAGAACAAAATGAATCAATTGCTGTGACAAAATGTAGTTGAATCAAAGACCCTCTAAAAGAAACGTATCTTAACAATTTCAATATCAGTGAGATTTGCGGTTGAAATCCTTTTGTTTTTTAATCTTGTTTAGTCTTTCCTTACATACTTTTCTTGTGCTTACGATTAAAGGCTATATCTGTCCAATGGGTAAAATAAATGAGAGCATTTCTAAAGGTTGCAGATCTTCCTTTCCCATTTGGTACACAGTGTCTACACTAAAACCCCATCCTTCACTGTCAGAACCAAGGAATTAATTATGTGTAACCAGAAGAATGGTTTCCATGTGTGGGAAAAAGAGCTTCATTTTGCAGAGTACACTTTCCATGCAACGTGACCTCTTTTAACATGCTTATAGGTTCAGCAAATTAGTAGTTCAAGTTAGCCTTTTTTCTCTATGGCTCAAAAAGCTTTTACATCTCTGAAAAAAAAAATTTATTATGAACAAAAGAAGAACCATTTATTAGACAGAAGAAAACAATTAGGAATTCCTTTTCTTTTCTCCTTGCCAAATATGGCATTTGATAATAATCTCTTCTACCTTGGGTTCAACGTTCTTCATCTACAAAGAGTTGTCCACTGAGAAAATATATGCTAGATCTTTACATAGTACTATGCATATGTTGGTGCAATTTGTACCAGTTGAATGTAATCAAAGATGCATAACCACTGGAGAGGGAGAGTATAGTAGAAGACACATCTCCCCAAGCCGTTGAGACTAGAACGAAAGCCAAATCTGATTTATACACATTAATTGTAATGAAAATTAAATCAAGTAATCATAGTTACTAGAGTTATTCTCCAATGTATCTTTCCATTTGATTAGATTAAAGTATACAATTTGACAATAAGCTCTGAGAAGGCTCTAGCAGTCACCTGCAAAGCTATATAAACTATATTGCCCTGGAGCTCAGTCTGCATTATAAATGTTGAAAAATTGGGTAATATGCAATTTATGCAAAATTTGGTAATATGCAATAAGCAGCATCTTATGAAGAGTATTACAGTTTTGTGTTCTATCTAGATATTGTCTGCACCTGCAAAATAAAAAATGGAATAGCTTCTAAATTTGACTAAAGTTACTTAAAAGAAAAACATATTCTTTCCAAAATGAATTATTATGGAAATGAACCTGAGTAGGGAGGAACAGATACAACCAAACTGTTAGAACAGGAAGTACAATATCACTGAACTATATTCTCAGGGGTTCAAGACAGCAGGGAAGGATGTCGGGATTGATGTTCCCACATCTGCTCCTAAAGTACTGAGGTCAAGTAACTACTCCTAAAATGCAGCAAGATATTCCTTTCTATCATTTCCAGTTCCAAATAGACCAATGGTCCACAACCTTTGTGGCCCAAGGGACCAGTTTCATGGAAGACAACTTTTCCACAGACTTGGGCTGTGGAGGAGATGGTTTTGTCACTTGGCTGCCACTCACCTTCAGCTGTGCAGCCAAGTTTGTATGTGGCTCAGGGATTATGGACTTTTGATATAGAGCATTCAATGTAGTGAAAGATTAGGAATGTCACAACGGCCTCTTAGAGACAGGACATGATTGGCACAGGAGTGCGCCAATTACAAATATATGAAGAATAAAAATAGTGATCAGGTTGAGGTTTGAAAGACTTGGAAAAGATACAAATACAACTAATGATGAACCGCAGGCTGCGATGCAAGAATTATTTTAAAACACACGGAAATTTTCTATATTTGTTCTGTTTTACATTCTGGTTATATATAAATTCTTTTTCTGTGTGTTTATTTTTCTATATTCCTTATGCTGATCTTTTGATCATAACAATAAACTACCTGCATTGCATTACACTAAGGTAAATTAAGATGAGTGTCCATGTCTGAGCTCTCTTTTTTCCTCAATTTGTCATATGCAGGAAACATAGATGACATTTATCCAGAAGGTAAAATAAAATAGTACTAAACACTTCCATACTTCACATCTACAGTTTCCTACATATATTGTGCAGAGAATTAAATTCCAATGTTGGATCTTATCCAGCAGATTATATTCTAGAGCTGCAACATGAGACACCGGGATGGGGGGCTTTAATGGGTTTTGTTTTGATGACTTCATACATTCCTTTTAAGGATTCTGCATCCTATAAGTATAAAGATTTACTTTATATCCTCAAGGACTTTGATGAAATTCTGCACATGGGGGATTGGGAGGATGGGAGAGATAAAATCAAGATGTGTTGGGATGTAATTAAATACAATAGCCAGTTTATATCCATTTTCCTAGAAAAATGGCAATGTAGACATGAACACAGCACAGCCTAGAGCTTGAAATTTATTCCACAGTAGGGCATCCATCTGGAAAGAGATTGTTGCATGAAACCAGTAAGTATGAATGAAATTTTCAGCAGGATCTTCCCAGCTCTCTTTATCATGCTTCCCTACCATCCATGCAAGAAAGTTAAATGCATCTGTGTCTCATGCAATGACTAACAGCTCTAAAAAAGCATAAATCTAATTTGACTATTATGCAAACTGAAGAGGAAAGGCTATGAATAAAGAACAAAGTTACTTTGTTGCTTTACTGCCTTGCTAAGTCAAGAGAGACTCCAACTGAAAATGGCTAGATGTGCCATAACTATGGGAACTTTAGCCAGAAAGCATTTGTGGCTTTCATTTGGTAATGGGCATTTAAAAGTACCTCTATAAATATAGTTTTAGCAATTTCCCTCCATACCGAATGATAAAATCAAGTCAGCAATGACATGCCAGCTAAGTAATAAGACAGGACTAAAGCTGGAAAGCACTTTAGTCCTGTTTTTATCAGTAAAAATGCACAAGCCTGTTGTACTGCCATTTGATATTTAATTTTTTTATTTAAAAGTTTTCATTTAAGCGGTGTCATTGGGTGTTTTTGTCACTATTTGCTACACCTCTTACTAAAAAGAGAAAGACATAGAGATTACAGAAAATAAAACAACACAAAGAAAAAAAAGGATCTTTATTTTCAGATTTTTAAAACATTGCCTTTATTACTTTATATGTTACTCAAAGCAATAAACATACATAAAGTCCTTCCCCCTATTTATTTTTTATTTTTTTTGCACAACAACCTTATGAGGTAAGTTGATCTGAGAAAGTGAGTGGTCCAAAATCACCCAGCCAGCTTTAATGACTAAGATAGGACTAGATTTCAGTTTCCTAGTTTCTAGTTTGGTGCATTAACCATTAGACCAAACTGCCTTTTTTTTTTACTGATTTCCACTTGCCCAACGAAACAAACTGAAATTTAGATTAAGAGGAGATGCAAATTTTTGAATCTGTAAGCCCAGCCTGAGCAGCCTTTTTAAATTGACTAATGATTTGCTGGGAATAGCATGATCAGTAGGACTGAAACAAGACGTAAGTAGGTTCAAAGCCAAAAGACAGTATACCCATGCTTCGAGAACTCTCTGTCCTACATGGTATTGGACCTGGGTACTTGAGAGACCGCCTCCTGCCAATCACCTCCCTACGACCAATTAGATCCCACAGATTAGGCCTCCTCCGAATACCATCCACTAGCCAATGTCGACTGTCGACCCCTCGGGGGAGGGCCTTCTCTGTGGCTGCTCCGGCCCTCTGGAACAATCTCCCCATGGAGATCCGGACCCTCACCACCCTTCTGGCTTTCCGCAAAGCCACTAAGACCTGGCTGTTCCGTCAGGCCTGGGGCTGATGAGTTCCCGGCCCCACTTAAACTGTTGTGACTGTTGTTTGTTTTAACTTGTTTGTCTTGTGTTCTGTTTGTATTCCCCTTCCCTTTGGTTTGTTAGCCGCCCTGAGTCCCTCGGGAATAGGGCGGCATACAAGTTGAATAAAAATAAACATTCCAACAGTCTGTCGCATTTACTTTTGAATCAGGCCTGTATTGTGTGGCATGTAAGATTCCTGACTTATAGACTTCTCTAAGGAAAAAAGATGAATATTGATGATAGTAAAGGTAAAGGTTCCCCTCGCACAAATATGCTAGTCATTCCTGACTCTAGAGGAAGTGCTCATCTCTGTTTCAAAGCCAAAGACCCAGAGCTGTCCAAAGACGTCTCCGTAGTCATGTGGCCGAAATGCTGAAGGCTCATAGAACACTGTTACCTTCCCACCAAAGTGGTTCCTATTTTTCTACTTGCATTTTGTAGGTGCTTTCGAACTGCAAGGTTGGCAGAAACTGGGAACTCACTCAGTTATGCGATGCTAGAGATTCAAACCTGATCGACAAACTCAGCGCCTTAGCCACTGAGCCAATGCGTCCCATTTTGATGATAGGAGATTCAATTTTTAGGGAATAATAAATAAATAAATAATAAAATAAAATAAAAATTAATAAACAAGTCCAGTCTTATTTCATTCTATGACAAAGTGACTAAATTAATAGACCAGCAAAATGCTGTGGACATCACATACTTAAACTTCAAGCAAGGCTTCAACAAAGAAGACCACAACCTACTTCTTGGTAAACTAGAAAAATGTGGGATAGACAGCATCACCAGCCCATAGATGAGTGATTAATGGTAGTACATCCACATGGAGAGAAGTAAGCAGTGGGATACTACAAGGCTCTGCTTTAGGCCCAGTATTATTCAATATTTTTATAAATGTCTTAGATGAGGGAATAGAAGAAGAACTCATCAAATTTGCAGATGACACTAAGCTGGTAGGAATAATGAACATTCCATAAGACAAGCTCAGGATTCCAAAAAATCTTGACAGACTTGAACATAGGGCCCATACAACAACATGAAATTTAATGCAAATAAAAGTAAGGTTTTGCATCTAGGCAGAAAATGCAAAGATTAGGAAAAACCAGGCTAAAAAAACAGTAACAGTGAGAGGGACCTTGAAGTCCTAGTACTGGTGCCACCAACCTTTTGGACCTCAGGGACTGTTAAATTCATAATTTTAAATCCCGTGGACCACTAATATGATCTGCCCAATGACTGGCTGGATGGGCGTGGGTCATGTGACTGCGTGGGCATGGCCAACTCAATGTCACTCACATCAAGGGTTCCTTGTCAGCCTCTACTCACCCCTCCCAGCCACTCTTCGCCTCCCCGCCTCGGCTCTTTAGGTCCCCAACAGAAAGCAGTTGTTGAAGCTAAAGAGCCACCATGAGAAAGTGTTGGTAAAACAGCTCAGTTCAAATTGGATATAACCAAGAAGAAGGCTCAGTAGAAACACCTTACTCAGGACTACGAGCATAGGCTTGCCAAGCAGATGGAAGACCTGCAGGAGTTCAAGGCCAGGTACTGGGACCTGGAGGCTCAGCAGCCTGAGATGGTCAGCCAGTTCCAGGCTATGATGCAGTCCCACTGGAACAAGGTCTTCCAGATCATCACCACCAGCAGCACTTCCCTCCAGCCTTCACCCAAAGACCCACACCAAGAAGCCAAGCAGACCCCAAGTCGGAATTTCTGCGCCCCTCTGACCCAAAGAAAAAGATCCCAAAGGGGGAGACTCTCTGCAGCAACACAAACATTCATTGCACATATCCGTCCTAGGGGCCGTAGTTTAAGGATCCCTGATTTAGTGCAATATAAAAAATGGAAATATTTT